TCCAAAGCAATGTGGGACAAAAAGCTCACTTTTTTCCCTTCATTTTCCAACTCAAATGGGTCTACTTTGAGAATCAATATCTCATTCACCCATTATCCGTTTTGAGCGTACAATATATCGATCTCTTCGTCTCACTACGAAGAATCCGAATCCACTTTAACCCGACCCAAATCAGAAGTGGACCCCACTGATAATTGTACCACAAAATAGCCACTTAACATGCCATTTTAAGCTATTTTTTCCAACATTTCCATCATTTTCAAAAGTGAATCCCCTATTATAGTTGGTAATTTGCTAATATTATACATTTCTTCATTTACTATTATTTTATCTATAAATCCATAAGTAAATAGTTTATATACTGCTGTAGGGTTTGCGTCTTCAGTGCATAAAAACCTAGGATATTTTGTTAACTTTCCTACTCTTAATATAGTATCATTAGACTTATATTCATAAAATTTATTTATTACATCATAAGCTTATATTACTTGTGAGGGATACTTAATTTTGTCTGCTATAGTAAAAGGGATTTTTGTAGTGGTGGATGATTCTGATTGGTTAATTAATTTTGATGAAAAGGTTTTTAAGGGTTCTAATACAGTTTTTACAGGTGAGTTAATAACAGGTTCTTCCTTATGTTCTTTTAATATTTTAATAAGTTCTCCACATTCTGCTAAAGTTTTTAAGATTTGTTCATGTTTTTCAGTGATTTCTGCTATAGCTTTTTTCATTGAAACTTTTACTACTTGTCATTTTTGTACCTGCTCAAAAAATCAGCTAAAACATTTTTAGTTCCAGATATAGGTTTAATAGTGAAATCATAATAACAAAAGAAAGATTGCCAATATCTTCTTCTATTTAATTCTGGCAAAGGATCTATTTTATTCATAATAAAGGCTCTTACTTGAGTATTATCGGTTCTTACTACAAATTTTACTGGTAGTAAATGATAATGAAATCTTTTTATTCCTAATTTTACTGCTAATACCTCTTTCTCATTTATATGATAATTTTGTTCATTAGGTTTCCATGTTCCTGATCCATATCCACATATTAAAGATTTTTCTTTGTCTATATCTTCTTTAGTATAAGCTACTAATACTGCTCCCCATCCTATGTCACTAGCATCTGTATATAATTCTAATTGATCATCTTTTTCTGGTAATCTTAATTTTGGTAAAGATTCTACTTTTTCTTTTATTGTTTTAATAGCATTAGTATGTTCTTCTTTCCAGTCAAATATATTAGATTTTTTAATTAAACTTTGTAAGGGTTTTCTAAGTGTTGGTAAATCTTTAATATAGTCTGATGCATAATTTACTATTCCTAAGAATTGTTGTACTTCTTTTTTATTATCTAATTTTTCTTTAAAATCTTTTATTTTTGTTACAGTGTGTTCTTGTAGTTGTAATCCTTCTTCTGAATTTATATATCCTAAATATTCAATTTTATTGTTAAATATTTCAGATTTCTTTTCAGATAATAAGATTCCATGTTTTCTAACAGTTTTAATAAATTCATTCAAATGTTCTACATGATCTTTTAGAGTATTACTATATATTAAAATATCGTCTACATATACTATGCAAAATTCATTTAAATTTCTAAAAACTTGATCCATCCTTCTTTGATATATTTGTGGTACATTTTTTAATCCAAAAGGTAATACTTTCCATTCATATTGTCTTTGAGGGGCACTAAAGGCTGTTAAAGGTTGTGCTTCTTTAGTAAGTTTTATTTGCCAAAATCCACTTTTACAGTCAAATTTACTAAACCATTTCTTACTAGCTATTCTGTTTATTAAATTTCTTTTATATGGTAAAAAATATCCATCAAATATTATTTTCTTGTTTAACTCCCTATAATCAATTACCATTCTAGCTTTTCCTCTTTTTTGCTCACTATGTTTTCTTACTAGGAAGGCTGGGCTACTGTGTGGACTAATACTTTCTTTTATTATTCTTAATTCTAATAATTCTTTTATTTGTATTTCAAATTCTTTTTGATCAGTTGGACTATATCTTATAGGTTTACTTCTTATAATATCATTTGGATTTATTAATTTTATATCAGCATATATCTTTTCTTTATCCCATAAAGTGATAGGATTTTCTCCAAAATTTATTTTTAATAATTCCAAATATTTTTGTTTTAATTGTTCTAAATTATTATTTCTGTCTATTTTAATGTTATATATTTTTAGGAAATGTATTGGTAAAATTCTTTTTAATATTACTCATTTGTTACATGGTGTTAATAGGCTTAATGTCTCGCTATTTATTACTTGTGTTTTGAAAAAGTCTAAAAAATTATTTCCTAATAATAAAGGGTGTTTCATATTATTTTCTTGGTATACTATTGGTATTTTAAATATTAATTTATCTAATATAATTTTTACATCTTCAGCTATTACATCTAACTCTTTATTATGTTCATTAAATCCTGAGACTTTTAATTCCTTGTAATTTGTAGTACAGAGTTAAAGCTAATTCTTTATGTTCATCTTCTAATGATATACTAAAATCTGGTTGGACTGTGAATTTTAATTTTTGATAAATTAAATTTCCTCTTACTACTGTTATTAAAGCATCTAATATATTTCCTTGTATTCTATCATCTGATATATATATTTCTATGGGTGTGTCAACATTTTTCTGAAAGTATCCTTTTATAGTAAATTCTATGGCTCCAAAATAAACATTTCTATATCTCTTTGCTTCTGCTTTTGATAATTTTCCTAATTCTCTTTTTAATATTTCATCTGTTATTAAATTTATTTTTGCTTTTCCACTAATAGTTGTAATATCTATTGCATTTTCATGTTTTTGTACTATATATCTTATGTCTTTATTTCTATCAAACCATTTTGTTTTAAATATTTTATTAATGGTAAATTGTGTTTTCTCATTTTTCATTTTTTCATAGATTTCAGGTTTAAAGGTTAAAGTTTGTGTTACTCCACCTTCATAAGTATCCATTTGATAATGTGTTTCTGGGTCTTCCATTATTTTTTTCTTTTCCTTTATCCATAAGTTAATTTATCAATTTGAAAATAACATTCTTCTATAATCTTTTTATATTGTCTTATTTCTCTTTCCTTCTGATTTTCTATTCTTAGCTTTTCTTCTAATAGTGTTCTTATTTGTGTATCCTTTTGTCTAATTTCTTCTTCTTTTATTGTTAGTCTATTAGTTAAACTATTTATTTCTTCTAAAGCTTTTATGATTTGAGTATCTTTTTGTAATATTTCTTCTTCTCATTGTTTTATTATTTCTAAACTTATTCTACAACTTATAATATGTTGATTAATATCTCTATTATATTCTAATGGTTTAGCCGCTATATATTCTATTGCTTCCATTTTTTAACAAATATAATACTTATTTTGTTCATATAATCTATTTATATATGCTTCTATAGTATTAATTCCATTAATTGTATCATTTAATTCTAATTTTATTAATAACCATTCTTGTATGTTTTCTTCTTTGGTATTATTTAATAATTCTTCATATATTCTTAATTTCGTATAATATTGTTTCAACATTATTCGTTGTTTTCTTAATTCTTCGCTATAAATATGCATAATATCACTTATCTCTTCATGGCTCTGATACCAATTGGTGCATTATTAGCCTTATTCTGGTGTATTTGTAGATTCCCATTGGTGTCAAGTTCAGGTGCGGTAACACCTTCCTGTATGGTGTATTTATTCATATATAATGACACGTTTTTGGTGATGCGTGCATCAAAAAATATTTATAGATAGCGGAGCAGATATATGTTTAGCTAAAAAAGAAGTAATAGCACCATACCGATGGAAAAAATCAAACAGACATAGAATAAAAGTCTCAGGATTTAATGAACATAATAAAGAGTTAGATGTAATAGCTGAAGATGTAAAAATTATATTAGATAAATTAATATTTAAAATACCAATAATATTTAAAATACCAATAGTGCTATAAACATTCCTAAGTTCCAATCGTGTATTCTTCTATTAATTTCTTGTTCATTGTATACATTATCTAAATCTAGAAAGTATCCATTTAAATTTACTCCTTGACTCATAGATCCTACGAAGTCTTTGAATTCAGATTGTTGTCCTATTGGTATGTGGTCTGGTAGACTTGTTTTTCTTCTACTAATTATTTCTAAGTTTGGGTCTACTATTTCTTCTTCAGGATAGTCATTAGCAAAAATCGAACCGAACCAAATACCGTTTGAACTTTGGATTGCTATTTTGTTATATATTAGACTTTGGATATGGACTATGTAAACACCATAACGCATAATATAGAACTTTTGATAATAAACCATAAAAAAATCAAATAAAACATTTACACGAGATACCCGTGAGAATATGAACTGAACGGCAGAGCAAGCAGCAAGGGACTTGGATTTACTTTTTATTTATTTATTTTATTATTATTATTATTATTATTGTTGTTGTTATTATATTTAAAAAAAAAAAAAATCAAACGGTATTCCGTTTAGTTCAATTTTTTACCGAACAATTCGGATCGGTTTTTTATCGAACCATTTGGTATACAAGAATCCAATACCGTTCGGTTGTTTGGTATATTACCGAACCAAACTACTTCGGTTCGGTACGGTTCGATTCGTGAAAACTAAATCGAATTGTCCACCCCTAAAGTTAATTACCAAAATGGTCCCTTGACTATAGCGAAATTACCAATTTGGTCCCAAGTTAATGGTTGACTAACGGTCAAACTAACGGAGGACTAAATTGGTTAAAAATTTTAAAGTTGAGGGACTTAATTGGTTAAAAAAAATAGTCAAGGATCAAATTGGTAATTTCACTATAGTCAATGAACTATTTTGGTAATTAACTCAATGTAGTTGGTAGATAAGTTTACTTGACACTTAATTTAGTTTGTAGTAGGAATTGAGCACTTTGCAGTGATAAATAGATCTATTTGATACTTGTGTCTCAAAAATAAAGTTACTTAAATTTTATGCGAGGCAAATACTAGTAAGAGAAAAAGAAATTAAGATCCGAAATAAGCATAGGTATAACCGTCGGCGACCCGGCGGCAAAGATTTGAGCTTTGTAGATAAGAAGATAGATTGATAGATCTACGACTTCATCCACTCGCCGAAACCTTAGAGATTCAACCGCGGGAATGATAGCGTCAACGGTGAAGAAGCCATTGTTGGGGGTCACAGTCCTCACGTTCTCTATCTTCCTTGCCATTATTTTATTTCCTCCTTTGTATCCCTTCTCCGAGACCCCAATCTCTCTTGATTCTTTGCTGTAAGTTTTGCATGCATCACATTCTTTATTGTTCTCGATTAATTTGGCTTCTGTTTATTCTGGCAACCCCTTTTTTTCTTGGTTTAATTGTCATCTTTTGGTACGAATTGTGTTCTGATTTACTGATTTATCCTTTTTCCTTTCTTTTCTGGAAAATCAGACTTGAAAGACCAGAAATATGGAGTCTCCCAAGGGTCGTGGCATGGCGGCCTTGCAATTGGTGGCTCCGACGTGATTTTAGTGGTTAGCTTTCTTTTATTTTGAGATCTTACTGAAGCTGCTATATGCGCTTTGCATATTTTTGTTCTTTATAGAAATTGCACAGAAGAAACTGGTACTGAGATAAAATCCCTAGTGCGCTAAGCGATTAGATTGTGAAACAATCTGTAATTCTTTTAGATTTCTGGTTTTGGGTTATGCTATTTGAGACTTTGAGAGATATCTTTTTATACAAAGGAAGCAGTATAGGGATTGTTTTTTAAAATTCATTTGCATAAATCTTATACATGGGGGGTTTACTTTTTCTGAAGTATAAACTTTGACTGGCTTCCAATGCAGAATTTGCATATGGTTTTTTGTCTTGAAATGCTGCAGCTCTACCAGCTGAGACTAACGGCTATATCCGAGTGGATTGTTATGGTGGGCTCAACCAGATGAGGAGGGATGTGAGTACTTCATAACTTGGAATGCAAAATTGATCTGTTTTTGGCGTCCTTTTGCTTTTCGATCTGTGGGTGTCAGATATGACTTGAAACATGCTTGTTATGCAGTTATGCGATGGTGTTGGCATAGCTCGTTTGCTGAATGCAACTCTTGTTTTGCCCAAGTTTGAAGTTGCTGCATATTGGAATGAATCAAGGTATGCCGGTATTAGCTAAGGTGCTATTGATTTGATTTATGGAAGAGATTTTTTAGATTGTGCTCATAAAAGTATACTCACCTTTCATTAATGAGAACTTGAGATACTAATTGAACTGTTACATTTCTAGTTTACTGTAGTCAAAATAATTACAAATTTGCAATAGCACATAAGTCCTTTTCAGTACATAATTTGGTATGATTTGGTGGTAATGGTTTGTGCTTGGAGTGGACTTTGTTTCATAAACAGGGGATGTATACTGTAGGAAATAACCATTAAGCATTTTTATATCTTGAACCTGATGTCAAACATTGCAGACTGTGTTGTGTTGGGAAAGGAGTCTAGTCCATTATATAAAAACCAAACACGAAAAACCCCAAGACTCATAAGTTGTAATAGATCTTGTTAGACACAGTATGTTATTTTTAAGAATATTGTATTGTTTTATGCTCAAGTTTTCTGTTTTATCATTAGTTGCGTGTTCTATTCAATATATGTTGTGACAGGACTTCCGCTTTCCACTCTCAGTGATTTTTCAGATATCTTTGATGTGGATTATTTCATCAAGCAATTGAATGGCTTTGTTAAAGTAGTAAAAAAGCTTCCTCCAGAGATCGCATCAAAGGAACCCTTCAGAGTTGATTGCAGCAAACGTAAAGGCCTATTCGACTATGCTGAAAGTGTCCTTCCTTCGCTGTTGGAGCATCGTTATATTGCTATCACACCTGCAATGAGTCAAAGGAGGGATAGGTATAGCTTCTATTTCATATTTTGAGATAAGATCTTTTTTGCTTTAATGCTCTTATTCTTAAGAATTTTTCTTCCCCATTCACTCCAAGTGTACTCCAGTTATGGGTGATTTTAGGTGTTCTTAGACGAACGAGAGTGCTCCAACTATTTTGCATACTACTTTTTCTCAAACATTATTTTGTTACCCATATTTTCTATATTCAAGCCTGTATCTTTTCTATCCTCTTTAGTTTCTTTATTGTTAGGCTACTCATTGTGTAGTTTCTATTCTCTTTGTTTGTTTACATATTTTTTAAACGATCCACTTTGGCATTAATTATAGTCATTCTATCTTTTAGGTACCCTCTGCATGCAAAAGCTGCATTTTGTCAAGGTTGTTACAATGCTTTACGCCTCATAAGTGCGTTGGAAAAGAAAGCTTCTGATCTTCTACAAGCTATACCAAAACCCTTCCTATCACTTCACCTAAGGTTTGAACCTGACATGGTGGCTTATAGTCAGTGTGAGTATGTAGGTCTTTCTTCTGCTTCTATGGAAGCCATAGAGGCTGCACGAGGGGATCGAAAACCTTGGACTGGAGAAGCAGCTCAGATTTGGAGAAACCGTGGGAAGTGTCCCTTGACACCAAATGAAACTGCCTTCATCCTCCAAGCTCTTTCTATTCCTACAGACACAAATATTTATTTGGCTGCTGGCGATGGCTTGATGGAACTCGAAGGGTTTACCTCAGTGTACACCAAAGTAGTAACCAAATCCACTCTTCTTAATGGCGAGGATTTCACAAAGATGCACGGGAACACAAAAGCTGCACTTGATTACTATGTATCTATTAGCAGCGATTCTTATATAGCAACCTATTTCGGGAACATGGATAAGATGGTTGCAGCAATGAGAGCCTTCAAGGGGTTGCATAAGACACTTTTCTTGAGCAGGAGAGACTTCTCGGTGTTGACTTCTCAGGGTCTTGAGGGAAAGGACTTGGCAGATGCCCTGTGGAAGGTTCATAGAGATGATTTTGTAGTGGGCAAGGGATCTGCTTTGCCAGACTGCTTCTGTGAAGAAAAACTATAAATCAAAATTCATTTCATTTGTTACTCTTTATATTTTTGTTACCATTGAGCATTTCTATACCTGTAAGACAGTATAAAACTGAGCAAGATAGAAAATTGAGCCCCTTGGTGTTTATGCTTTGTCCTCTCAGCTTTAAGTAGCACATTAGGAACTGTTTTTATCAAGACAAGATTTATATACATTTCCCACATGATGGTTGGTGTCGCACAGTCTGTTAAAGTGTGTTGGTGTAAATTGAAACACCAATCCCAATATCAATATTAGGCTGTATATCAGATGTAAAGATCGACCTCAGGTTGTTTCTGAATATAGGTATGGCTGACTTGTCGTCAAAGTTAGCGACCCCCATGGCTTCCTTCTTCCATTTGCTATGGTATTCGGACAAGGATTCCGAGCTCTTCTGCTTCAAGTAGCACAGGTCGGCGAACTGCTTCTTTTTCTGCATGCTACTGGCGAAATGGGACAGGAAGCGCCTGGTGAGGTCCAAAAACGTGGATATGGACCCCTCGGGCAAAGACCCGACCCAATCCTGGGTCTGGCCATCTAGGGTCGAGAGAAAACCCCTGCACATGATGGCGTCGGTGGCCCCGGTCATCATCATAGCAGTTTGGTACCTGATGAGGTGCGCCCGCGGGTCCGTCGCCCCCGAATGCGCCTTGATAGTTGGAAAGCGGAAGTCTTTAGGGAGGGGCTCCTCCATGATGTCCCTCATGAAAGGGGTGGACAACACGTCCTGGGGCTCTAGGGACCCATCTCTCTCGTCAACCGTCTTCTGGAGCTCGTCTAATCTTCTTCGGAGCTTCTCGACCTCGTCACATTAGGAGCTCGGAGCTCGACCATTGGTCTCTCCCGACCGCTCGATCCGAGAGGTCTGTTCTCGTCACGGCTGGGCACGGGGCCTATGGCTCGGCGACCTTCGCGAGCTTAACTCCTGTCGTGGTGGGGCCCTAAGCCCACGGCCTGGCGACCTCCTGGAGTTGGACTCTCTCGTTGGTGGCCCGTTGGCAGTCAGCCTTGGCCCTAGCCTGTCTCGGGCTGTTATACGGGTGCCCAACCGCTCTAGGACGGGCCTGGTTTGGGTCAGTTTCCCCCTACTCTCTTCTTGCTGTCGCTGCCGACCTTGGCTGGTGCCACCTCCTCCCCGCTCGTCTGATGGTCGGGGTGAGTTGACCTCTCCCTCGACCTGGGTGCCGTGTGCTCGGACCGCTATGCCCCCTTGAAGGAGGTGGAGTCGGGGTCGGTACCCTTTGGGTGGCCCCCGGGCCTACTTGCATACCCCCTTGGAGCCCCCGGGCCGACTTGTGTACCCCCTTGGAGCCCCTCCGCGAGGCGAGCTAGTGTCACAAACGCTTGTTGAAGGGCAGCCGCCTGGAAGAGAGCGAGATTCGGAGGAGGGGCGGCGGGAGCCGGCGCACCATTGCGGTGGTTGGTGAGGCGATCCCTGAGGTACCCCGCCAACCTTACGAAGATGGTACGTTGTTGGCTAGTGGTCCCGTTGAGAGTGCCCCAGGTCGGGGTGACCCGGGTGCCACGAGAACCATTCGTGTTGCGAAGGTTGGATCTCGATCTTGCCATAGCTAGTGGAAAATTAGCATGCTCGAGCCTGATGTCAAGCTCTCAATGAAAGCATCAATGATGGATTTAATTAACTCGGGTGGTTCGAATTAATAAACTCAATAAATAACGGATAATGTAAATGGATAGGTAAAATAGGCAAAACGTGTGTTATAGGGTCACGAAGACCAAATGTTATATTGATACTGAAGTGATCATGCTATTACAATGGATAGGTAATGCTATTACAAGATTGAGGTAAGACAAAGACATGGAATGTGTCTTAAAGGGACAAGAATGAGGCTTTTTATACATGGAAAATCCCATAACCCCCCCCCCCCCCCCTAAAACGGCGGGTCGGTTGCATCACCGCATAGTCCAAGCCCCGGATCTTCCGCTGGAATGGGCCGACCTCTCTCTGGCCGAGCTCCTATGAGTCGATCGAGCTCGCCTGGGCCGTAGCCTATTGGTCGAGGTGCCTTGGGCCGAACGGGGCCCCGGGTCAGCTCCACACCTTCTCGCTCCGCTTTCCCATGTCAGTTTGCTCCAATTATAATATATCCATCATTTATATTTGTGACTTGTGAGGGGATGCTGGTAAAATATCTTGTTGAAAACTTAACATTTACCGATGTGCCTTCAAGTTTTAAGTTTATGTATATATAGTGTCTAGTTTATAAACATTAATCTTTTAGTTTTTGAACAGGTCCACCTTAAACCTTAATTCAAGATATGATTTTTGTCTCCACATCACCTGCGGGTGGCGGGGCTGGGCAACTCTACTTGATCTCCTTCACTTGTGAATCTTTTGTGTTCCTTAGGTGTCTATCGTGGTAAATTTTAATCTTAACCACTATTAAAAGAGTATTGTGTACTCAAAAAAAAAAAAAAAAAAAAAGCATTTAAAATATATAAACCAGCTCTAATTTTAATATACACAAACATATAAATTAAAGATACTCCCCAACTCCTAACTAGAGCTGGAGTCTGGGAGAGGATCTAATCTTGTCCATGTTTGTAGGTAGGTATTGTTATAATCTGTCATGTTTTGTACGTATGACAAAAACTTGTGCGGAAATGTCTCACAAATCTTTGTCAGTGAGACGAGTTGGGTTAAGATGAAAATGTAATACTTATAAGGAAAAATGTAACATTAATAATGAATGAAATGTTTATTACTTATATGAGAAAATATTACACTTTTGAAGAAAAAATTAATATTTTTACATTTTGATTTAAAAATATTCAATTTTCTCTTATAACATTGAGGAAAATGTAATACTTTTGATTAAAAATATAATACTTTTACATCAAAATGCAAAAGTATTACATTTTCCTCACAAGTATTATACATTTTTCCAAAGTATTAAATACGTTGATTAGTATTACATTTTCATATTGTCTTGATTCGTCGGTCCGACGAAGCTATGGCTGTGGCGGTGGCAGTTGCACCTATAGATAGGTATTACCATAATCTCTTCTCAGGCTGTTTTGTTTGTTTATGTACGTTCAGTGCCTCATTGACCGACGATGCCCCTGTACATATATAGGTACTGCCATGATCTCTCATGCAGTTTGAGCTGTATATGAGCTTCATTACCGACGAACCAGTCCCTGCAGATGCGGCAGTACGTGGCGGCTGCGATGGCGGTGGCTGTGACGATAGCACCTACAACATCAGCATAAACCAAATTAAATTTGTAAAAAAAAAAAAAAGAAAAAATAAATAAAAACTAGACAAACCAAAAGTATTAACTCATTTGTGGGGAAAAAATGGCAATTGAATTTGCAAAACAAAACAAAAAATAGTTATACCGCAAGTATTAATTACTCATTTGTGGGGGAAAAGATTAATGGCATTGACAATACCTCACACAACAGAGAATGTTGACATGTTCCTGCAATTCATCTTGATGCCCTTCATTATTTTCCCCCAGGTGAAAAGAAGATTGCCATTCACTCTGCCTCGAGGGAGAATCTTGTTGATGCCCTTCTTTCTAAGTAGACTTTCCCGGGAGAGAATACGCTTGTTCATGCCCTTCATTGTGTGCTAGGTGAGGAGAAAGAGCTTGTCCCTGCCCTTCATTTTCAATTCCCCCATGATTCATTTTGGTATAGTTTATTTTAGAGTTACAAATAAACAATAAGTTGTGTTTGATAAAACAGAGAGCAGTTTCAAAATAAACTAGTAGCCACCAGCTTTTAAGCTTTCTAAACTTTGTCCATTTGGGCCGAGCTATTGTAGCTAAGTTTTTGGATTTTTACTTGAGGGTGATAAAAAAGAAAAAGAGAACAATGTAAAGTAGAGATGAAACTAACACACAAGACAGCAACCAATTAACATAGTTTTAACTAAAGCTATTATTACAGATACATTGAAACTGGGAATTCTTTTATTTATGGCATGCATCAAGAAGTACAGTTGATGGAAGCCAAAGGCAACCTTATTAATTACACACCAAATTAAAATTAAAAAACCCATTAAAGGTAGCTAGGTAGTTAATGAGGCTCCAGCCCAGCAATGGAATACAGCGTTGATGCAAATGCAGACACCAAATTCCATCCCCATTTGGCATAAGTTTTTGCAGCCCGATTGCAGTAGTCAAAGCCATACCACATATCTCTGGGCACACGCACGTTGTAGTAGAAGGTGACAGGCCTGGTAGAATGCCCCTGCCCATTGATCGTAATATCATACGGTATCCACCCGTCGTATCCTCTCCGGTATACGTACACGTAGCATATCTGATACGTACAGGGACCCCATATCTGGAACGTATCTGTTGAACACCGCTCGAATGTCCTCGAATATGGATCGTCTAACCTGGGTGCATAAACCTAAATTTCCCCCAAAAAATTAAACATCATCACAATTCTTAATCAACAAATTAAATGGGAAAATGCCTATTCATTGTGGGAATTATACATGGGTGAACTCCTTGCGGCATCAAACATTGATCCTCTCATTTAATATTCTGTGTGAGGGCCTTGGGGCTAAACAATTTCACCTAGTTATGGATTGTGGGAATTACACCCGACACATCGGGATGGGTAATTTGGCGTAATTGTGGGCAAGAAATGGGAAATGTGTTAATGTATGAATCTGAACCTGATTCCCGTAAGCATCACCGAATGAGAGGCTGATTTGGTCTCTGGTGGTTGAAGTGGAAGAGCAGCTTGTTCTTATGTCCACATTGAAAGAGCATCTCGCATTCTGCAAAAAACAAAACAAAACTTAATAATTTCATCATCGATTTCAAGAAAATATATATATATATATATATATATATATATATATATATATATATATATATATATATATATATATATATATATATATATGTTGATGAATGTAAGACAGAGCACAGATCGATCGACCTGGTGGTTGAGGGTGGTGGTGTTGACGGCGAAGGAACGAGGAGCTGGGTGCGCCGAAGAAAGGATTGAATTGGAAATTGATCTTGCCTGGGACTGGGAGATGGGTATGAAGAATAAGATCAGTGCTAAAAGAGGCACACAATCAACTTTTGCCATTGCCATTGCCATCTTCTTCAATTCTCCTCAGCCTGCACGCAAAAACCCTGATCACAATGCCACATTTAATTTCGCCTTCTTCTTCTCATTTCTATAGTAGCCGATCACATAGGCATATCAGTCTTTTCACCTCTATATACCCCTGGATGGTATTTTTACACTTTTAATGGATTTTTCCCAAATATAGAGTTTCTAGAAATATTAGTGTGAATAATTTTCCATATATGGATTTTGAAAATGCTACATTACTTCTATTTTGTACTCTCAACTTATACTTTCACACATAAAACCTTTGATGTAAACACTTATATTGAGCCCTGCCACATCAAGGGAGTAGAACTCGATGGATTTTAACATCTACTCAAGATCATATCACTAATATTTTATTATTTTAAGAATTAATGAATTATATATATATATATATTTATAGATTTTGGTTTCTGTGAGGTCAGGTCTTCTCGTGCGGTCAGTGTGGCATACACCATTAGGTATGCATAAATGCACCATACAGTGTTCAAAAATACACCAGAATGAAATGCCAAAAAATACACCACACAAAAAAAATGCACCACACATAATGGTGTATTTACGAACACTGTGTGGTGCATTTATGCATACTTAATGGTGTATGCCGCACTGACCGCACGGGAAGACCTGACCTCACAGGAACCTGACCCTATATATATATATATATATATATATATATATATATATATATATATATATATATATATATATATATATATGATGGTTTTATTGAGATTGAGTCCATCATAAACCAGGTATAGAAATACAGAACGGGGGTATGAAAGAGTAACTTTATTACCCGGGGCGCTAGGCCTAAAATAATGCGCAAAAAGTACCAGGTACAGGCCCAGAATGACGGCCCAAATACAAATAATAAGGCACACGGGGTGGGCTATAGCTAACTATGTTACTAATAGGAATCAAACCCAAGTGGCTAGGTTGAGAGTATAGACCAAAGACCACTAGACTGGTGTGCCTGTCATGTCTGCGCTGCCCTTAGACAAAGATCCAGGGCCGCTATTTATAGCAGGTCCCCCTCCCCCTTTAGCGTCCACGTGTCCCATGTTGTTATTCCCCCACTCCGCCTATTTTTTGTCGCCAAGCACGTGACATCGGCTCTATCCCCGCGACTCCCGCATCCACACCGCGCACTGCGTCCATCCCCCCTGCCCACAGTGCACCCGCGCGCGAACTCCCGCCTGCCGCAGCGCACCAGGGCGCTAGGGCCACGCTCGGCCGCGCACCGGGCGCGCTGAGTGCGCTGTCGTCGACCGGGGCCAGCGCCCCGGTCGACGACCCCTTCCGGCCGGCGGCGCGGGCCTCGCGCGCGGGTACCGACTGCAACTGCCAAACCCATTGCGTCGGGGCGCTAAGTCCACGCTCGGCCGCGCACCAGGCCCGCTGGGTGTCCGTCATCGGCCAGGGCCAGCGACCCCGTCCGGCCACCGTCGCCAGCGGTCTCTCCGGCCATGGGCGCTGGCCGGCTACCGCCCCCATGGCCTCGCACGGGGGCGCTACGCCCACGCCGAGCAAGGGCGCACCGCCCGTCGTCGGCGAGAGCCGCTGTCGACGACGCTTCCCGACGACACCCCAAACCACCACCCGTTCACCAGCATTCCCCCCCTTCCGGTCTATGCTCTTCACCTTGTCCTCCATGCATGCTTGTCTTCCCAGCCTAACAAGACTTGGGTCAACCTCCTTCTTTCACCACCCCCACTTTGCCCAATACTTTCCCAATAAAATGGACTCTCGGAGACCCATCTCCTCATCAATATATATATATATATATATATATATATATATATATATATATATATATATATATATATATATATATATATATGATTGTTTTCAAACAAACCTCCCTTAAAGTACAAATTGTGTGAATGTAAGTATGTTAAATTGTGCACGAGTTAATCCCAGATATTGTTGGCAGTGTGCCCAGTGTGCATGTAAGTATGTTAATGTGTGCACGGGCTTTGATGGATGGTTGTGATTTTTTCCTCCTACGCGCTGTGTGCATGCAAGTATGTTAATGTGTGCACGAGCTTTGATGGATGATTTTGATTTTTTCTCATACGCGTGGGAGTGCGCCCTATGTACATGTATGTATGTTAATGTGTGCACGAACTCAAGTTTGCATTTTAAGGGAAATCTGTATTTTAAGGGGGTTTGTATTTGAATGCAACCCTATATATATATATATATATATATATATATATATATATATATATATATATATATATATATATATATATATATATATATATATATAGGGAAGGGATCAGATTCATTTGTTGCTTCCCGTGCGGATGTGCGGTGGATTAATGTGCGTGAGATTTATACTTAATGTGCATGAGATTTGTACTCAATGTGCCTGAGATTTGTACTTAATGTGCGTCATGTTAATATGTGTGAGTTTTGTACTTAATGTGCCTGAGTATTGTGTTTAATGTGCCTGAGTATTGTGCTTAATGTGCGTGCATATTTCAGAATTACGAGCTCAGAATGAAGCAGAACAGAAACTCACGCACATTAACGCCCAAACTTCTTGTTACTTCTTCCTTCAATTTGGCCATGGATTCTGGATTATCAGCTACCTTCAGGGCAGTTGAATTTTATATAAATGACGCACGCACAGTAAAATTTGCACAGCAGCTAAGTGTGGATTACTGTTGTATTATTCCCACAATTTTTAACCACCATAGCTCGCCTCCGCATCATCATCATTAGGGAGGAGGCAAATGGCTATTGGGGATGGGGAAGAAGCTAACATCAATATTTTCTGCTGCATTTTACACATTCACGCACATTAAGTACAAATCTTAGGCACATTAAGCACAACACTCACGCACATTGAGTACAAATCTCACGCACATTAATCAACCGCACAACCACACGGGAAGCATTCAACCGCACGGGAACACCTTTCACTATATATATATATATATATATATATATATATATATATATATATATATATATATATATATATATATATATATATGGTTGTATTCACGTGTAAACACCCTTAAAATACAAACACGTGGACATATACCGTGCACACACATAAAGGTGGGTGTGAACACATCCGTGGACTACAATGCACACATCCAATATAGTATGCATGTGTGAATCCATAATATTTGGGCCGGCGTGCACACGTCCATGAACGATAGTGCACACAGGCGGGCGGCACACAAAATCATAAAAACTAATCACAACCTTAAATACCCTAAATCCAACGATCTAGAAATGTCCACACGTTTGTATTTTATATATATACTAGTAATTCACCCGTGCGATGCACGGAAAAAAATTATGTTATTATAAATATAAATAAAAATAGAAAAATTAAAATATTTTAAATTATTTAATATAATAATATTTTTGAGCTTCCATTGGTCAAGTATTTATTATTTTTATAGAATACAAAATTACAATTAAAATTAAAATTAATTAAAATTATAATTTTGTATGGTTAATATAATCTCTAATTATGTGCATATTCAAATAAACTTATAGAGATAATTTACATAATTACATTGATTTATTTTTAATTGTATTTCATCTACATTATAATTTTCACAATACAAATAATAACTAAGATAATTACATTTGGAAAGCAAATTTCAAATTTTGTATGTGTAAATTTAAACTCTAATTGAACACATTTTTTATATGATTATATAATATATAGCTATTTTATTTTTCAAAAGTATATTTTTTATATGATTATATAATATATAGCTATTTTATTTTTTAAATGTTGTGCTTTTTTTTTTTTTTTTTTTTTTTTTAATAAAGGATGTTGTGGCATTAATTGTAACATTAATTATTTCCCAAATCATATAGCTTTATTATATAAAGGATTTAACAGATCAAATTTTAAAACAAAAAACGTTGTAACATTTTCGTAATTGTTGGATTTAGATTAAATAAAACTAATTTTGGGAAGGCAAATCCTGATCGTCAGGATTAAAAAACAGATATGGCTAAGGGATAAAAGTTGACAACGTTTGGCGTACTGGACACTTGTCGCACTTTTAATATTCATCTGTTTCGCCGTTTGGAGCCACCGCTGCATGGCTTTGCAGTTCTGACGCTATCAAACAACCTAAATTCTTTTTTTATTCTTAAGAATTTAATACATTGTTTTCTGCCTTTCCGGATAACAAGTCAAATTCAAAATGATAAGGCAGAGCATTTGAACTAAAGTACAGAGTAGTACAGAAGTGGCTGTAATTTAGAACTGGTAACAATGTCACAAGCAAAAGTACTACTGCATATCTATCAACTTGTAGAAACTCATTCCTGAAGTTATACAACAAGGGAGAATGCGATGAATGGAAGGGAGAACACGATGAACGGAAGGGAGAACGCGATAATCATTGCTCAGAACTCGACAGGCGGCTTCAACCTTATAAGTCGTTTGATTCTTTCTTTCTCAGTGTTTTCCAGCAGCCCCTATGAATATGAACCAAATAGAGTAACAAGAGCATTAGCAAATGACTATTGACTAATAGACTCCAATTCTAGGGAACTGGCCTAAGTAGAGTTACTAGATATCAAGTGTGTGGTCATTCTGGGATAGGAATGGTGCATTTAATTCGCCCATCACAGATCTGTATTTGAGTTTCAGATTGCACAAGATTATAAATCAAAGATTGAGAAGAACTGAGGGCTTGGTGTTTCAAGTGGATAACTTGCATTTGCATTCCAATCTAAAAGATGGTTTTGCTCACCTTCCACACAATCTCATCCAGGCATAGGCAAATCTTTCCATACTTGTCCAAGAAAAGGCGCTCAGTTGGAGGTTTTCCACACACATCCTTAATGCCCGATGTTATGACGAAGATTGCTTCAGACACTAGAAACAAAGTCAACAATATTAAATGAGTAATAATAACACTGGTGAGAAATATCTTGAGGACTTGCAGTCCAAGTAAGTAGTCCAAGAATCTTGCCATAATTATCTATGCGGGTTATGCAAGCAAAGAAAACCCTGGGAGTACTCCTTGCCATGCCAAAATTTATAAATGAGGC